ACGGCTCACGATTACTACTTTTCACCACACCATTTTCTGCAAATTTTGTCTGCATGCAAAGAACTCTGTAATGCAGTGACCGAGACATGCATGGGGCACTTGATTCTCTACTAAATAAGTTAAACATTTGAAGTCCCCATTGTAAACTCAGCAGCATAAACGAATATGTTGATCGTAAGTACCGCCTTACTATGCAAATTGACTCTCGTAGGGGTTGATCATCCGATGAAGAAAACACACTGTGGACATAATTGGAGCAAGGTGGCGATTAGCCGTTGGAGCATCGCACCATCTGTGCTGATCCACTCAGCGCATTCATGCTGTGATCGACGACAATACAAGAGCCGTACGAAATCGACTACGCCTTGTTGTCCAAGACGCTCGACCTTCTTATTTCACTGCACATCCAAATGTCTCAGGCTCCACAGTGCCGCTTTCATCCAATACAGAATGTAACTCATTTGCAATATTGTACCGATATTTCCTCCAGGATCTGAAATGTATAGGGTATTAGGTTTTTTTCAGAGGGTCATAAATTCATCTAACCTTCGACCAAACTCTGATTCTTTTAGGCTCAAAACTTTAAGAAAAATAAATGCACGTAAGAATTTGATTATGATTTGCTGACCCGTCATTCCCACTTCCCACATTCCGCGATGGTCCTCCTCTTTCAACACACTTCACTCCTTTTCTTCTACACGGTGTTTCCACAATAATGCAACACAGTTTTTGCCGCTAACTTATGTCTAAACGGATCTCACTTCAAATGAATGCGCCTGAAATTTGATCAGAAATAAACCTATCACAATCAATGACATTCCGTCAAAATCCTTCCCTTTCGCCGTGATTATGGCTCTCACGATCAGTCACTTCGAATATGATTCCATATCCATGGTTCCCTTGAATATTCCCTTCTGAACTTCATTGAAAGTAGGGTTGAATTCTATGACGTAGGTCCTTTTTTCGAGGTGGGCCACGTACTCCAATATAAACTAGAAGGATGGTCCAGCTGGTTGAGATTGCAGGGCAAGCGAAATATTCGCATAAGAACATGAAATCTGGTTAAGGGCACGAAAACAGCACTGAACAGTTTTAACCCTCTTTGTAAGAATGCGATCCTATTGAAACGCCCATCAATCGTCCCGAAGTGGTTGAGTGTTGGCAACAGTTGCATTTCTAAGTATAATTCAGCAAACTGGCCAGATTGTGTTTCATCAATTTTCACTAAAAACCGTGGAGAACAAGCTGAAGTTACGACTCCTGCTTAGACAATAATAGGACTGGATCCAAGTCGCAAAGAAGAATTGCTTCTATGTCAGGAATTTCAGTGAGGACCCTCGAAGTGTGACAGTTGTGGCTGTCCTTAAAGGTGAAAATTTTCTCGCTCATGAACCTCCTCCCCTTCAGATACGGGCCTTTGCAGGAAGAGCTACCCACTTCATCCTTGTTAAGCCTTCCCCGTCTCACTTAGCCCTCGTCTCTTTGACAAGTTATAGAGATACAATTAGTTTCGGCAATGCCACCTCTCTTATTCTACTAAACCCTCCCTCTTACCTATACTTCTACCCTAGAAAATCTGCGAGACGCTCATGAAGATATTCTTGTTGTTTACAGTCGGCAGGCACATAGGTGTCGTCAGTCGCATAAACGCCTCATTAGCCCATTGCGGACGGCTGGCGTCTACGCAGCAGACGGTTTGTGAAGGGCTTTCATGTGCCGATCAGGAATGAATTAGGCGGCTACGGTAAAGCGTACCTTTGAAAAAGAGTTACGGCGCCTTAGGACTCCACTATGTTGAGAGAATCCGCCCATCCAGTAAATTATGTCTGACATATAGACGGTCGGGAGCATATGATGGGCCCACGATTTCTAGGAATCTCAGTGATGGACCTCTTAGAGAGTGGTCGCCCGAGCATCACTACTGCCGCGCTATACTCTCACTTATGTAGCTGCGCAGAGCTGGGCTAACTTCATGAAGCTTGTTCTTGAGCTCACTCAGGAAAATTCTTTCTAAGAATTTGCTAATAACCTCTATCTTTTAACATGATACACTTACGCAGACGCTATGAGATTACAGACTTAACTCTCTTAATTCTCTCTTAGGTACAGTAAGTGGTTCGACCAGTTGACAGGTTCAATAACGTGGTGATGGTTGTGTCCGCGATTGTACACATTCCATTTGGCCATCAGCCATCTTCGCTTCGGCGTCGCCCGCAG